GTGTGTGTGTGTGTGTGTGTGTGTGTGTGTGTGTGTGTGTGTTTATGAAATAAAAACATGGGAGCTAGCTCCTTAATGATCCTTGTCTTCTCAGGTATGACCTTTATTGTCCCATTTCATGAAAACATTTTAAATTTTCCTTTTGCTAGACTTTTGTAGATTTATGTAGTTAGTTTATATGCTGCAAAGTATGTGCTTTTAATACTGGAGAAGAAAAGTTTGCAACAAAATGTATCCATACGATATCTAGATTCCTACATAGAAGATCATGTTTTACTATCTAGCCCTACTTTTTGTCAAATCAACCTTGAAACTTGTAGAATTTAAACTCCGAAACAGCCACTCACAAAGAGTTTAGTGAAGAAAGTTCTGAGCAGCTCAGTATAGTAAATTCTTCTATATTTATCTTACTCTGGTTCTTTAGAACTGTTGGAATAACTCATATTAATCATGATTTGTTTTCTATATAAATGTATATTAACACCTTAATTTTAGCAAGTAAATAATTTTCTTTTTTCTGTATTAAGCTATCTGTAAAAATATATTTGTTCAAGAAAGAACTTATTAATCAAAACATTAGGATGCTCTTAAAAGATAATACAGAAATGTTACTCTTCTATTTACAAATAAAATGTAGTTTTCTTTCAGAATAAATGCTTCCCCTGTCCTCAAACCCACCTCAATTTCTAATGAAAAGTCTGTCTTATACTTTTTTTTTAAGATTCCCACTAAAAATATCGAAGGTCAGATGACACCCTACTATCCAGTGGGAATGGGAAATGGTACACCTTGTAGTTTGAAACAGAACCGACCCAGATCAAGTACTGTGATGTACATATGTCATCCTGAATCTAAGCATGAAATTCTTTCAGTAGCTGAAGTTACAACTTGTGAATATGAAGTTGTCATTTTGACACCACTCTTGTGCAATCATCCTAAATATAGGTAGGATGTGCATTTAATATTCTAAACATACAATGCACATGTGCTCTTTAAAGTTTTCTGTGCTTAGGCTTAATGCTTTTTTCTTGCCAAATAGGTTCAGAGCGTCTCCTGTGAATGACATATTTTGCCAGTCACTGCCAGGATCTCCATTTAAACCCCTCACACTAAGACAGTTGGAGCAGCAGGAAGAAATACTAAGGGTGCCCTTTAGGAGAAACAAAGAGGTATGCAAGTTAACTAATGATAACGTCTCAGTGCTTCATCCTCCACATTTCATGACATGGATCAGTGTGTTAATTTCTGTAGTATAATAATGGCAACTTATTTTACTGACTCAAAAAAATTTTTTTTAGTTTTTTCTTTTTATGTGTATGAGTGTATTGCCTGCATGTATGTGAGTGCACCCATGTCATGCAATGCCATGGAGGTCAGAAGAGGGCTTCAGATTCCCCTGGAACTGGAGTTAAGAATGGTTTGTAGCCACCATGTGGGTGCTGGGAATCGAAGCCTGGTCCTCTACGAGAGCAGTCAGTGCTCTCAACCACTGAGCCATCTCTCTAGCCCCCTCGAAATTTTTAATTCTAATTCTTGAATAATTTCAGTTCTGTTTCTTACACTTTTGAGACGCAATTTTACATTCTCTTAGAGTCATAATTACTTTTTTCTTTTTTTTTTTTTTTTTTGGTCTTTTTGAGACAGGGTTTCCCTGTAGCCCCAGCTGTCCTGGAACTCACTATGTAGACCAGGCTGGCCTCTGCCTCCCAAGTGCTGAGATTAAAGGCGTGTGCCACCACGCCCAGCATAATTACATATTTTAAGTTTAACGCCCTATTCATTACAGTTAAATGTTTACAGTCCCAACTAAGCTTTTGTTTCTTTGTATATTTGTTTGTTTCTTTGGTTTTTGTCTTTTTAAGACAGGGTCTCCCTGTAACCAGCTGCCCTGGAACTCACTATGTAGACTAGGCTGGCCTTGAACTCACAGAGATCCGCCTGCCTCTGCCTCCCAAGTGCTAG